AACGCTTGCCAAGGAGCAGTGAAGCTGGTTTAAAGTGCAGAGCCGCGTGTTACAAGCACCCTTGATGGTGTGCCTCGGTGCCAGCAGAGACCCATCTGCATTGTGTCTCCTGGAGAACACACAAAGCAGGTCAATGAGAATCTGAAACACCTTTTCTTCTGTTGAAAGTGAGAATGAATGTGCCAAGGTAGTGAATGGGATAATTTCCCCTCTGTCTGTCCCTGCTGGGTGGATATTTGCAGATACACACACATACACCCACCCTGATCAAGGAGCATTGCACACGTCTGTGTCCAGGTTGCATTGAGTGAGGAGCAAGCTGTGTCAGAGTCAAATCTGCCATGTCCTGGGCAGCCTGGCTTAAAAGTCTGTCCCAAATCCTAGCGTGTAACTGCTCCAACTTCGTTGTGGTCTCCTTGCCTGTTCTGCCTACCAGCTAAACCTTAATGTAGGTTGCTACTCCTGCCAGAATACTCTTTGTTACTGTGCATGGAAGCAGGGTGGCTTCGGTACCTTCATTAATGAACACAGAGCTGCAGGCTGTGGGAGGCTGTTCCTGAAGGAAGAGTGCCCAGAGGACAAGCTTTGCCCTGCACTGCTTTCCTGAATAGGCCTCCAGGACCCTTTCAAGCCATCTGCCCCAGAACTGGTCATGCTTTAGGAGGTAATGACCCACAGAGAGAGAAGTTGCAAAGAATGCAGGAGCCTGGAGCTCCTGGATACAGAGCAGAAAGATGAGATACACATGGGGTAGCATTGGAGAGGGATACACACCGGCTCCCAGTAACAGGAGGAAAGAAAGAGTAGGTCCCTAGCAAGCAAAGAAAGTGCTGGCCATGCCAGTCTGAGAAGCGGGACCCGGAAGGTGGAACATTCCCCACTGATCTCTCCCCTGCTCAGCTGCAATTGCAGCCGTTTCAGAACTGCAGAGGCAGCCGCTGGCCCTACCACAACCATCCCTGCTCCTCTGCTCCCTGCTCCTGCCCCAGCTGCTCCAGAGCAATGCGGATTCCTTCCCCGTCAGCACGGGATAGACTCAGCGCGAAGGGGGAAAGGCCGAGCGCTGCCCTCGAGCTGTTCCCTGCGCTCCCAGGGCTGGCACACACGCTCTGCGTCTGCGTTGGAGCCAGGATTAACAAAGCTCCAAGGCTCTGTCTGCTGCGAGGAAATTAAACCTCTCCATGCTTACCAGCCCCTATGGTGATCCCGTTCTCCCCTCATACTTCTAGATGAGGATAAAGGAGAAGCTGCTTGATGTTTATTAACTAATAACCAAGAAAACCTGTTTTGAGTGTCAAAAATCTCACGAGACAGCTCTTCCTTTGCAGAAGCTTAATCAGGTATTTTGCTCAGCAGAGAAGGAACAAGCATTTAACCCTGCTAATCATAATGAAGCGCATCTCATGGCATCTTTTTTCTGTTTGCAGTTTGGTAATAAGGTGCTGCTGCTCTGGACTTGGTTTGCTTTAATAACCCGCTGCTGGTGTCTCTGCAGAAAGGCTCTGGGCAGGGAGATGCTTTCCCTAATGTGATCTTAGCATTCCCGGCCCTGCCTCTGCCCCTTCTCGGGAGAGATGCTAATCTCACAATGTTTTACTTTCTGCTTTCTGGTCCATATGTGGCAATTGTGTGTCTGATCACCCCAATCTCGCGCGGTTATGGCACCCCAGGGAAAGGCAGCCAAAAAAACATATGGGGCTAGAGAAAAGCGCGTGCTTCACTGCACACGGGCCTCAGTCAGGGACAACAGACTCTTGGGTGTTTTGCAGAAAAGATGTGCTCTCTCTGAAGTGAAATCAAGGCAGTGATTTTCCTTTCTTTTTCCTTAACCTCTGCAGCAATAGGGAAATTATTCAGAACTTAGTGTTTTAGTTGGTAAGATCTTAATAGTCATTTATACCATTGACAAATCCCATTTGCTCATTCACTCTAAGGACGAATTCTAGCTATCAGAAAGAAATACTTGGGCTGTTTTTCTGCTGGTGATGTTGGTTTCCTCAGAGAATGTGCACACAGGCATGTGCCCACGTTGGGATGAGGAGTCACAGGGTGAAGTGCAGCTCCTGATCATGCCTGGGCTAGACCTGGATCTAGATACCTGCATCCATTCCCACCTCTCTTCATGGGAGCTTCTCCAGTGCGTTGAAACAAGCGATTTTCTGCTCTCGTCCTTCTCTTTTATCCAGCCCGCCCCATATGCGCACACAGATTTTTTCCTCCAGCCTCTCGTAGCCTTAGCAACTGCTGCCACTTACGGCTCTGTGCTGGGAGAAAGGTAATGAGTAGGGGAATATGCCAGGGGATGAAGGAATATCCGAAAGTGAGGGAGAAAGCAGGTGTTAAATTGTCTGAAATGGCTTTCACCAGTCTCAGTCTCAGCTAGCAGTGCTTATTACTGTAAAATAGACCAGAGTTTGCAAAAGGCTTTTCTTTGGCCCAGGCTCTTCCTCACCCTCCCGATCACAGGCTTAAGAAATGGGCATCATCCAGAAGCGGGTTTTGAAGCCCCAGCGCCCGGAGATGTGTCCTGGAGCAACGCAAAGGAAAGGTGCAAGAGTTAGAAACAGCTCAGGAACCAAAACTTGATGGAAAATTCACACAGTGAGTCTGTAAAACCCACAGTAAAAGGTCTGTTAAAGATTCAGGCTGCTTTATCCTGCTTTATCTCAGGTCCATGCCTGCACAATCCCATCAGCACTGACTTAGGCTGTCACCAGAGCCAGCGGGACGTGGCCGTGACAGCAGTGCTCAGAGCTCAGCTCATGCCTGGGACTAGATTTGCAAAACTTAACTCTCAGAAGCAGTTGAGGCAATTAGGAGCAGGTAAAAAATAGGAATTTGAGAGGTATGCCTTCACCAAACTTGCTGGTAGCTGGCATTATAAGGTAATGAAGACGCTATAGGGGTATATTTCTGTTTGAGACTGGGAAAATATGTAGTCAGTTGTTTGGTGATGCCTTTTCCAAAACATCTGCAGCAAGTCTTCCAGGAAAAAAATACGGAATTGTTGATGACATTAATGTTTGCAGCAAACTTTACTATGTGAAATATTAATTTAATATGTTGTTATTCCAACTATGTTCTCAGCCGTCACGGGCCTTACAATACCCTACAATGTGATTATGTAACACAATTATGTGTTTTGAGGCTATCAAGAAAAAGCTAACTTATGGCTGCATGAAAAAAAAAGCAAAAATCATAGTGGCAGCCTGTCAGAGCCCCTCAGAGTATAAAATAACAAATTACAAGAAATGATTGCCTTTCATAAGTATCATGAGCTTAACAAAAATCCTGTAAATCCCTTCATAAAGGTCTGTTTTTATTGAACACCTTCCTAAGGCCTTCGTTACCAGGAGAAGGGCTTCAAGGAGGCCCAAATACATCAAAATCAGGACCGTTTTCAGGCCTGTTTCATATTCATAGTTCCTTCCTTGTGTGTGACTGATTTATTCTGCCGCGAGCCCCCAGGGTGTGCATTGTCCGAAATAAAGGCTGCCAAAAAAGAAGAGCGCGAGAGCCGGGCGCGCGCAGGGAGGGGGAGCTGGACTGATGGTTTCCTCTGCTGAGCCGTGCGGTGCCTCTCGCAGCTTTGTGGCTGAATTAGCTCCTCACAAAAGCGCACGCACCAAATAAATAACTCGTGCGCGGTGCAAGGCACCGGTTCTGGAAGCAGAAAGCTGCTCCGAGGCGGCCGCTCCACGCGGGGCAGCACGAGCCTCCCGCCTCGACTGCCTTGGGTTGCGCTCGAGCTGCGCTAGCATGTGCTCGCCTTGCAAAGCGCCGCGATTGTGCCGCGGAAAATGCAAATAAACGCATAGAAATGCAATAAGGGCAGAGAAAGCAAACGCCCATGATGACCGTAGGTTTTTGCTTCACCTGGGAGCGTTCGGAGAGCGGCCTCCCTGTGCAGAAACTTCGGGACCGCTATCCCTAGCGCGCTTCGTGCAGGTGGAGGCGCCGCACGGACTTGGTGCAGGTGCTGAGGGGCAGCTCTCCAGGGCGCAGGGGGGACCTTGGCGCCCCGGGGATGCTGCTCAACGCGAGCGCAGCCCCTTCGCTGGCCACAATAGCCGCCCGCACCCAGCCCGACTCATTAAATATTCAGTTCCAGCCTCAAGCAGCTCATTAAGTCGGCACCGAGCAGTGACGCCGGGGTTGGAAAACCCTGCCTCGCTTAACATCACCATGCAGAGTCTCCCTGGATCTCTTCATGTTACCCTGCTCAGTACCTTTCTGTGATGACCAGCTTGTGCTCGCTGCTTTGCATTAAATACAGGTAAAAAAAAAAAAAAAGAACACTCAGGTGGATTTAAGTTCTCCTGTTCTTTACAGGCCTTTGCAGAAATGGGGCCTAAACTAAACTGAGGGTCTGTGACGTTTTTCTTATAGGATCAGATGTGATTCCAGTTTGCAGAAGGAGAATGGGAGGAGGTTTATGTAGCTTCAGTGTTGAAATGAATAAAACTTGCAATGTTTGAAGGATAACTTCAGTATCAGAACAGCGTCGTGACATAGAACAGTAACAGAGGCTGCATTGCTCTCTCCACTGTTAAGCTGTTGAAAGTTTTACAATAAGTGTATGTTCCTTGGAAGCATAGTGTCTTTGCTGGATTTGATTTGAAATGAATGCTGAGGTTATTTCTTGTGTTCACAGTTTCTTTCTGAATGGAGTTTTTGAAACCTGTTTTGCAACCACTAACTTTTCTGGGAACAGTTTTGTATTCAGTTATGCTTAGCAGTAATACACTGAGTGGGAGCAGGGAGGTATTTACGGTGAGTGGATGTCAGATATCAATAAATTGGAGTACACTGGAATCTGAAGTATGAATGTAATTGTAAAAAAGTGTGTGTTTTCACTAACTAATATTTTAAACTGTAACATGTGGAAGTGTGCAGCAGAAATGGAACAGAAATGGAGAAGAAGATCATGTGCAAAAGTTTGGGGTTGTTTCTCAGAGGTCAGTGTTTTACACCCTGCACTTTTTTTTTTCCTTTAACAGAAAGTGTTTTCAGACTGCACATTTCTATGTGGAAGACAGCAGCTCACCCCGTGTGGTCCCCAATGAAAGTATTCCCATTATACCTATTCCAGGTAAGACATGCTTGCTTATATTTGTACTAATTGGAGGCTCTTTTATTTCCCTAAAGGAGAAAACTTGCTATTTGTGGTTAACATGATTTTTTTCATAGATATTTGTTGTATCAGTGCTGCTTCATTTAAATTCATGTGCTTTGCGATGGGGCTCTGAGTACCAGTGCTGTGTTTTTCCACAGGCACTTCTTCCACATTATTTTAATTAAAAATTTCAGAATAACCTTTGTGAAATGTCAAGAACAAGAGCAACATTCCTTAGAAATACTACTGCATGCATCCCAGGGGAAACGGGTTGCAGTGTCAGCGTGGGCTGTGGATGAGGGCTGACCAGCTCCGCTGCTCTCTTGAGACTGGTGGACTTGTTCCCCATTTCCAACGTGTGCAGAGGTGGGGAAAACAAAGGTAAAAAGTCCAAAGTTGTTTGCTAATTTGGCCTTCATCAGTTACCAAAAGCCGCATTCTTCCTTCAGGTCTGTGGAGAACAAAGCTGGAGCCAGAGTTTGGCACTATGTTCTCTTTATTAGGCATTTCCCCTAGGAATTATCCAGTGTCGGATTCAGTTCTCTTCTTTAAGTAGTGATGACAGAAAACAGCTTGATGTTGCAGTGATGTTGCACTGCTGGGATTAAGATACCCAAAATATTGTGCTAATCCCACTCTGTCCAATGGCTGTACTTGTTGCTTCAAGGTGATGTTTTCAGTGTCCTTCTCATATTCTGTAATTTCTGTGGATGGTCTAAGATCCAATGTACAGCTGAATTTAGTAGAAACATTCAAAGACATCTGTGACAATATAGAAGAGATTGAGAAACACATGCCCTGGAGAGAAGAGAATTCTTTCTGATTTTACGTAGTAGAAATATCAGGCGTTCCTTTTAGAAAGAGTCTTTCAAAGTACTCATGAGGCTTAATATGAAAGATTAGCTGTTACATTTGTATAAAAAACATTAGGCAGTTTGTCTTGCAGCCTGATACTGCACCTCTGAAAAGAGAAGAAACCAGAGCAGTATCACTTGTCCTTTCTGCAGACTTCACAGGTGATACCTTCTTGGAGCTTGCCTGGAAAGGGAGGGTTGACTAAATTGGACTCTGTACAGAGCGGTGTCTAAACCAGGGGAATTATGAGCACAAGGCAGCAGGGAGAAGAGAAATGCTCTTATCAGAGAGAAGTTGCTTTGGCCAATCTAAAATATTTACTGTAATTGAGAGAAGTTTTCTTAGACAAAGAAACATGCATAAAGGTTCATCTTTTAAGTTCTGCAGTCTGTTTAGTTTAGACAATGGCTTTTTTGTCCCTATCTCACACATAAGTTTTGAGGATTGGTCTGTTAAAGACTGAAAGGCAGTCACATCAATGGTCATATGCAGAACCTCCATTAAAACAGTGCAGGTGGCAGATACTATGAAGCCTGCACATGCACTGGCTCTTCTCCAGCAGCCATCCTTGCATGTAACATCAAGAACTAAAGGAAATTGCCATTTGGATACATCTTCCCATGCTGAAACAAGTGAAATTGTTGGACCACAGCACATTCAAGATTGGTACAATGTCGCTGTCACTGAAGTACTATGGTCTCTTCAGACTCCAACTACCTGAGAAAGAGTTGCTCTCATCTGTTAAAGGGGCCTGCTGAGCAAGTGCTGCAAGACTAGAGGTTGTCTTTGTAGTCAAAAACCTGCCCTGACTGCTGATGAGATCTCTGGTATGTGAAGAGCTAGGCCTTCGAAAGAGGTGTAGTCAGATGCAAAGATGACTAAATGTCATGAGTTGATGAACTTAAAGATATTTTCACCAGCAGCAAATCTATTGGAAGCATCAAAAGTCAGATCACTCTCTGGAAGTGCCTCTCTGTGAATTTACTGATAATCTCTTTGGTAAGTCAAATTTAGTAGAGAGAAATTCAAGCAATGTCACCTTTTTCCAAAGATGTGATATACAGCACCAAATGATCTTGAAGCGCTGCTAAACATTTTCCCCATCTGCAGGTACAGAAGGGGCCTGTTTCCCCCAGTCAGGTTGCTGCTAACAACACTGTTCAGCAACGTCAGCTGCTGCTCCCATCTAGGCAGCCTGCTGAAATTCCTTAAAAACACGGAATGGCAACATTCTCCCTTGAATTGACTCCAGCTGCTGAAATGATAAGGTTTTGAACTCTGGAAGCTGCCAGAGGATGGGAGAAAATCTTACTCGGCATCTTGATCCTAGTAGTAAAATATAAGTGACATTTTAACAAAAGCAGGTTCTCTGGAGTAACCTTACTAGGTTGTTATCCCCTAGGGAATACCTTCTTAAAAATACATTTAAATGCTCCCCCCATGGAAGCATGCATCTGTGTGCTAGAATTCATTGGACTGACTTCTACTCTCAGTTCTGTGCAAGCAGCCACAGGGATGGCAAATTAGAGCAGTGTGTCTGCAAAGGGTTCAGAGTTTTGCCAGGGCCCTTCCACAGCACACGGTGAGCTGCTGGCTGGAGAAAGCTGAGCAGGGTCTGTGCTGGCTGGTCAAGGCCCAGGTGTGGGGTGGCTGTGCCAGGTCCAGGGGATCCAGGTGCAGCAACGTCCTGACGCAGCTCGGGAAGTGCCGAAGCCGCGCTGGTCTCGCTGTGCACAACCACTCTGCCCTGCTGACGTGCCAGGATGCTCTGAGGTAGCTTTGGTATTTCCTTCTGCACCACATTCTGCTCTTCTGCTTACACGTACCCTCCTTTTCCTCAATTCTAGGAACTATAAAACCGATCTCCCAGCTATATAGTACAACTTAGTAGGCCCACAATTTAAAAAAAAAAAAAAAAGCCTGTAAAGGAATGATATTACCCATTTTCTATTTCACTTCCCGTGGCCTACGTGCTTAATTATTGTGCATGGAGCCACATCACCCATAGGCATGTGCTTATCTATGCAAATTTGCTCAGAGACCCAAATCATTGTCATTATTCATAATTATCTGCTCTGCTTGATCTAGAGAAACACAGGACAAAGGAGATATCATTAACCGAGTCACCCACTGGATATTTAACTGAGGTATAAATCTTAACCCACGTAAGCCTTCTGCCTGACAGTAATGCATCTGTAATCCACGGCAGACTTCTGAAACTCCCCGGCCGTTCAGCTCAACAAGATTCCCTCTCCGTATTCTCTGTCGTTGCTTCCACACTCAGTGAATTTTGGCCATATCCACATCACTTTACATGGATCCCTCACTATAAACGTTCAGGCTTGGCAAAATCTCGCTCTCACTAAACCAACTCCTGTTCCCTTAATATCTGGTTAAAGAGTTTCTGGGCTTGACTCTTTGTGGTAGATTCAGGTAAACAGCACAGTCATAGGTGCAGGCATACATATTTTGGACACCTTAAAAAAACATGCAGCCTCATCAGTCTTTCTCTGTGCTCCTCCTCACAAGACCTGCTTCATAAAGCAAGGCCGGAGTGCCCCACCATGTAGCTTAGATGGTGTCAGATACTAGGGTTGCCACAAATTCCTCTTTTAGCGCCATCCTCCTCCTCATCTTTGCTTCAGAGCTTTCCTGCTCTCAGGTGGTGAACTGCTGTGGAGCTTGCAGTGGCTTTAATGGTTCCTTGCCCAGGTCATGGGCACAACCGGCATTAGGCACGGGTGTTAGCAGGACTGGTTGGTTGTGAGGTCAGTGCAGAGATACTTGAGACTTGACCTTATGGCCAAACTCAAAAGTGTGCTTAGTCTTCACTGCAGTCCGGAGAAACAAGGCCCATAAAGAGCAGAATAGCTGGTGGGCTGATGCACATGATACTTCTCGTGTGTTATTACAGATGCCTTTCACCATTTTTAGTAAAATGTCTCAGATGTGATGCCTGTCACTTCAGCTATGTCTAGCCTGCAAAACTCAGCAACACTTCCCAGTGCTTGGATCAGGGTACATGCAGTTTCATATTTAAATGGCAGTAGATTCGTTTTTTAACTTCTACTGGAGTTTCTGAATACTGTATTTTAAAATAAGTAGTAGCAGAGTCTGTGGGAGAAACACTGTCTTACTTCTTCAGGAATGATTCAATGTGGGTGCATGAACCCAGAAAATCCCGGGCTAGCTAAGTGTGTTGCAGGGAGGAAGTGTCCATGTTATCGTGGAGGGGGATGAAGAACAGTGCAGCCACGACTCTTCTTCACTTCCCTCTGTTTTCTCATGCTTACAAGAAGCAATCCTCAAAGCACCCCGCTTACTAACCGTAGTTTTGTTGACTCTTCGGCAGACTTTTTAAAATGTTTCCTTCTTATTATCCTTTAAAATGTTTCCTTTCCTTATTCCATGGTTGTGTACAGAAGTTCCTGTACAACAAGCCTAGTTCCCTTGAACCTCTCTGATGGGTGTTTCGGTGGTAGATGCAAGGAGAAGGTAGGTAGGTCTGATGAAGGTAGCAGTGCTGTGTTTTCTATAAGCACAGCCCCTGCACTCTGATGTCTTCAGGTGCTCTCCACTGGAGACTGGACTGTTTCCTTTAACAGATTGTACAAGTAAGTGTCTCATTTTCCAAGGAAATTGCAGGTCCTTGCTGGAGGACCTGCACTTAAGCAATAGGCAGTAAGCATACTTGATATGCTTATTTTTTTCTGCTAGGATGTGGCTGTCTCAGGTTTCATGCCAAGACCTGTCGATGAGCACCAGGACCCTTCCATGGCAAGGCCTTTTGGCAATGCAGAGTGATCCTCTGGGCTAGAGCCTGGCTAGGCACCAGGAAAAGTGCCAGCTACAACTGAGGACTTATTCCCAAGGGCATGTAGCTCTTTCCTGAGCACAGAGGTAGTGTTCTTCAGCTGTTCAAGATGTTATAGCTGTTTTCTGCTCCCTGCGGATTTATATTCCAGCACCATATTGTGAATTGTACCTATGTGCAGCTTCAATTAAAGCCATGACTGCAATATTGCAAACGCAGCCGTTCCCTGAAGCCAAGAATATATCAAGGTGTTTTAGGGAATTTCCACCTCCCTCTTCCTTTGCTAGCAGCCCTGCTCGTGAAGCAC